ACGCGCGCCGGGCCTCCCTTCAACCACATGTGTCTCCGCAGCGGCCCCTATTGGCCGCTCCTAGTACACGGTCCCCGCCTGGGGCCTCAGACCTGGTCTTTGCGGTCTTTACCACCATTGAGTAAACGCCTACCATGTGCTAGGGCCTGACTCCTCTGTAGGTAAATGTAAGGATTCCTGGGCCCCCGAGGCTGTTGGTGACCAGTCTTGCCTGAATGTATAGAGCAGGGGTCCTCAAACTACGGCCCGCGGGCCACATGCAAATACAAATATTGTATTTGTTCCCGTTTTGTTTTTTTACTTCAAAATAAGATATGTGCAGTGTGCACAGGAATTTGTTCATAGTTTTTTTTTAAACTATAGTCCGGCCCTCCAACGGTCTGAGGGACAGTGAACTGGCCCCCTGTTTAAAAAGTTTGAGGACCCCTGGTATAGAGCTGTGCCGCCTGCCTCCCAGGCATGCCCTTCCCAGGCTGGGGAGGGGCGGGGGATCTGACAAGGGTCCCCTCCAACTCCCCCTCACACCCCTCCCCTGGCGCTTACTGCGGATGTTGGTTGAATCCCGGGAAGCTCCCAGCCACTCCGCTTTTTCTGCTCTGTGGCCTGGGGCAAGCTAATTCCCTTCTGTGTCTTGTTTCTTCATCTGTGAAATGGATGTTGTGACCATTAGCAGGTAGTATTCCAAGGCTCGTGAAGGGAGGTAGCACTTGTACCGGGACACCCAGAGCCCTGCTTACTCCAGGGCCAGGCGGGCGCCCCGAGTGCCAGCAATGCCCTGTGGTCAGCGTCGAGTGCCGAACAGCTGCCACCATGAGTCCCCGAAATGAGAGAAGTCGGTGTAGGATGTTGGATCTGAACCTAGAGCTACCCTGGCCCAGCGTCTGGGGTTTGATTACTACACCTTCCCCTCTTACAGGCTCCCGGGAGGGGCCGGCCTCAGTGCTGGTCTTGTTTTCCACGTGGGAAAAACAGGTCCCCGGTCTCACTGTCCTGCCCTTGGCCCCACAGCATGGCAGGGTCTCTCTACTGCAGTGGCAGGAGGTGCCCAGAGGCACTTGGGAGGTGGGATCATCACCAGATCGGGGCACAAGCTGGTCTCCCAAGTCAGTCCCAGTGGCCATGGGGGTTTGGCGGGAGCCCCTTTGGCTGAGAGGAGCAGCTGCTTCAAGAAGCCAGGAAGGCCCTAGCCGGATTGGCTCAGTGGATAGAGCGTCGGCCTGCAGACTGAAGGGTCACAGGTTCGATTCTGGCCAAGGGCACATGCCTGGGTTGCGGGCTCGATCCCCAGTAGGGGGCATGTAGGAGGCAGCTGATCAATGATTCTCTCTCATCATTGATGTTTCTCTCTCTCTCTCTTCCTTCCTCTCTGAAATCAATAAAAATATATTTAAAAAGGAAAAAAAGAAGCCAGGAAGCTGGGGGGCTAGGAGAGAAGTGGGGGGTGGCCACATAGCAGACACAGTAAGCCCTCCACATGACATTTCAGAATGATCCCCCCACCCCAGTTTCTTCTTCCAGACATTCATCCCTCGTCTGCAGAGCAGGCAAACCTGGCCTGTGCCATGTACCTGCCCTGTGACCTGGGCCAAGCCCCTTCCCTCGAACCTCGGCTCTCCCTGTGAGGTGGGCTGACCCTCCAGCCCGAGGGGCCGTTGGAGAATCAGATGACATCACGTAATGGTTGGCCAACGGCAGCGCGCCTCACAACCACAGCAAACATTCCACGCGGACTTCTTGGTGCCAGGGGTGCCAGGGAAAGGGATGATTCAGAACAACCCGCCCCCCCCCCCAGGGGAGGAGTTAGGGTTGGGGGAGGATCAGATGGTGGGAAGGAAAGAGAATGTAGTCAGAAAACAAAGCAAGCTTTGTTTTATTGCCGCCTTTGTTTTTATCTTGTTATTTAACCTATTTTGAATTTCAAATAACATTCAAAGGGCAGTATTGAGATTTTTATGCTTGGAGGTGGCAGCAAAGTTATAAAAAAAAAAAAGTTGAGGCTCGGATCTAGGTGTTCTTGTTAAAGACTATTATCAGCGTTTGCCAGCTGGAGTCCCAGGCACCTGGAGGTAAGTGACTTGCCCAAGGTCGCACAGTGAGGCCACGGAACCCCCCACCCACCCTCACTCGGAAGGGAGCAAGGGGTGATCTTTCAGCATGAAGGTTATCCTGTGGCACAAAGATCTCCTGATGAAACCGGTATTGGTTTAGCACTTGCCACGTGCAGAGACCAAGCTGGGTGCTGGGAAGGAGGAAGGCAGGAAAATCCAGACAGGTGCCCCACCCTCCGCGTGCGCTGCCAATCTGGGGAGAGACAAGACTGGGCTCCGGGAGCCCGTCAAAGGCTCTGTGAGTCAGAGGCTCCGAGTTCAAGTCTCGACTGGCTCTCTTCATGTGACCTTGAGCAAGCTTGGCCTTCTCTGGGCCACAGGAAGACGGAGGTCGAACCAGAGGCCCATAGGTGTCCTTCAGCCGGCACTTTCTAAGATACTAGAAGGGATAGGGTCAGACCAAGAGGAGATCAGAGAAGATTGGGGCTGTGGTGCCATCAGGAGGGGAGGCAGTGGGCAAGGGATAATAGCTTTTGGTGCCAGCTGAGCCTTTTCTAAACTCGTTCCCTGATGACAAGGCTCCTACATCACTGTGACAAACTATGACAAAGTCCTTTCCTGCCGGCCTTCCCAGAGCCTCGGAGGCAGGAGACATCTGGAAAAAGCCACTTTTGACCACAGGATCCTTTTCTCAGGAAGCACCTTGAAGGCGGAGGGTCCTTCGGAACCTCTGCGTGGGCTGTTTACACAGCCATCCACAAAGGCTTTGACGGGCACCCCTCCCTCCTGGCCACTCGGACTGGCAGACAATTTAACCTACAGAGAAGGGGGGGGGGGACTTGCTCCACTTGCCCGCGGGAGGCAGTGTAGCTTGGGGTTCAGGGGATCTGGGTTGAGGGGGTCCTGCTTCACCATTTCCTCCCGTGTAGCCTCAGGCAAGTCACTTCACTTCTTTTTGCCTTCGTTTCTCCCCTCTAATATCGTGCTCCCTGGGGGCTGTTGTGTGAGTTAAATGAGTGATGAACATGTCATGGGCACTTAGTAGGTGCTTCATCAATGGGCCCTGTGTGATGACCACACACAGTGGAAGTGTACAGCCCTGTGAGTTTTTGTGCTCCCGGTCAGTACCTGCTCAAAGGCAACCCCAACTCTGATGTCTGCCTCAGGTGTCCAGTTTTGCCTGCTCTTCCGTTTCCTGTCCATGGACTCACACCGTGTGTCCTCCTCTGTGAGGGTCAGCACTTGGTCGGTGCTCCCCACCCCTGTTGTCGGCTGTCAGCATGTTCTCTTTGGCGGTTCTTATTTGGCCCCAGGGACCCCAGGCCTCCCATCACCTTTCTGTCTTTCTCTCAGGTCTCCAGCTGGGCGGGAGAGGGGCTGTCCACAAGGCGTGCCTACCCTGTCCTTGGACAGAACATCGACAGCTGATTCCACAGGGCCAGGAGCCAGGCCTCAGGGAGAGACCGGCCATGGGCCCCCCACAGCCTCAGCACTTGGGGGCAGCACCTTAGGAAAACAGGAGCAGCCTCCGTCCACCCTTTACACCGAGAAGAAGGGACCTGCCACGGACCCACCGCCTGTCCCGGGCCCCAGCTGGGCATGGACCAGCACCTGTGACCTGCCAGAGCTGATGCCGGGCCCCCAGGGGGCCAGAGGAGGCCCCACCATGAGCCTGGGCAAGCTCTCACCCGTGGGCTGGGTGTCCAGCTCGCACGGGAAGAGGCGGCTGACTGCAGACATGATCAGCCCCCCACTCGGGGACTTCCGGCACACCATGCACGTGGGCCGAGGCGGGGACGTCTTTGGCGACACCTCCTTCCTCAGCAACCACGGGGGCAGCTCCGGGGGCACCCACCGTTCACCCCGCAGCTTCCTGGCCAAGAAGCTGCAGCAGGTGCGCCGGGTGGGGGCTCTGCCCCGGCGGATAGCTTCCCCGCCGTCGGCCTCGCCTGCTCCGCCCGCCGTCTCCCCCATCATCAAGAACGCCATCTCCCTGCCCCAGCTCAACCAGGCCGCCTACGACAGCCTCGACAGCCTCGTGGTGAGCAAGCTCAGCTTCAACAGCAGCCCCGCCGGCTCCGCGGACGGCCACTCCAGTTACGGTGAGCGCCTGGGTGATTTGCCCGTTTTTCCGACGCCGAGACCCAGAGGGTTGAATGGTTCAACCAAGCCTCCAAGTGAGCTCTTTTCCCCATAGTAGTGTGGTCTCACCATGGAGGTCAGGCCCAAACCCCAGACCGTGGCGGGGGAGGGGCCAGAGGGTGGGAAGCGGCCCTCTCCCCAAAATACACAGACAAATCTGGACAACCACTCACATGGACAGAAGCCAGAGGCCCTTCCTGCTTGGTGGGGAGGGAGAGGCAGATGCTGTCTTGGTGCCACTGGGCAGCTCACCTGGGAACCAGGGTTCTGGTTCCTGCTGCCACCTAGTGGCCGTTCCCTGCCCCGCAGCCTTGCCCCACCACCAGCGGTTGCCTCCAGGGCTCCCGCTGTGGGTCTCTGCTCAGAACCCCACTGAGGGCTGGAGCCAGGGGCTGGACTTCCCACGGCATCCGTTGAGTCTGTGACTTCTAGGCAGTCAGACCCTGGCTGCTGGTTTCATCACTGTGACCAGCCCACATTCTGTGGGCCCCCCTCAGCATCAGCCACACGCCAGGAGAGCAGGGGCACGGCCGAGGTCACCATGGGAACTGAGACTGAGGGAGATCTGAGCTTCAGGCTGGGTTCTGCCGCCTCAGACTGTGGCCCCGGGCAAGCCCTTCCCCTCTGAGCCTCACTCTCTTCACCTGCAAAATGGGAATGAAGATCGTGTCCGTTGTCAGCTTCCAGGGTCACATGAGCGACTACTGGGTTCCCTGTATTGGAAAGATGGGAGGAAGTGAGTCCAGAGCGGGGAGAGACTTGCTAGAGAGGGCGCATAGCAAGCGGGGTGGCTCCTGGCCCTCCCCTCCCCGGGTGCTGGTCAGGGACCCCAGCTCTGACCCCACTTCCCATTTCCCTTCTAGGTCTGGACTCTGGGTTCTGCACCATCTCCCGCGTGGCTCGCCCGGAAAAGCCTCGTGACCGAGACCATGACAGTGCCTTCCCCTCCGAACCTGAGCTTCGCCGCTCTGACTCCCTCCAGTCCTTCCGCCTGGACCTCGACCTTGGGCCGTCTCTCCTCAGTGAGCTGCTGGGGGTCATGAGCCTCTCAGAAGGCTCTGCAGCTGAGACTCCAGCCCCAGCCCCTGCCACAAGCC